AATGTACTAAAATCTGGGCTTAATCATTATATGCACGTTTGATACCAAGTGTACTTTTATACAATATAAAGTACTGAATATTATTTGTTTAACCGAGAATTATATTTACAATATCGGTTAAAGTAATAAACAAACATGCACAATTGTAAAGGTAATAAATAAACCATTATGTTTTATGTTTAATTTTATGTTTAGTGATTCATAAATATTTTTTTGTAGAAATGTAAATATAAATGTTTAACAAAAATAAAATAATTTTATAAATGACACAATCTTTCAATTTTTGTTATTTTCATTTATTAATTGAAATAAAATGAATCGATTAATCAAATCTCATGTTAATATTAGCAGCAAGGTGGCCGCCATCAGCCACTAGTATTGTACAAGCCACAAAACTAGCCTGATCACTGGCCAGGTAGGCAACAGCGTTGGTAATGTCTATTCCCTGCTCACACCTGCCAACCGGGTATTTACTGTCCATAGCGTCCCAAATTGCTTCACCTTGCTTATCAGTAACCGGCATATTTCTCATAATGTTTGTGCGAACAGCTCCGGGACTGTTTTAATTGTTTTATCATGGTTAGACATGATTTTACATGATTCAACATTTTACATATTTTAATATAAAATGTTATTATAGTCTATAAATACTTGACTTAATTAACGCGAATGCCTTTTGAGCCCAAATCACATGCGCTGCCTTTGATATCACATATCCCGACACACCTTTAGCCTTACAATTAACATGTTCAAATATTATTTATTTTTGTTTCGTATATAAGTATCCAAATGCAAAGATTAATGATAGGTATAATTAAAAATATTTTTAAATAGTGATAATTATTATTGTGATTTTTAATATCTTAGAATTTAGTTTACTAACAAAACAACAGTTTTAATTATTTAAGAGATTAATAAACTATGAATAGTGTAATAAAATTACTAATGCATTGAATGCTTTGAATGTTTGAGAAAGTCTCAACGAAATTATAACTCTTTTGTCTTCTTAATACTGGAACCATTCATTCGGTACTTCAATACCTGTCTTCCACTCATTAAAATTGAAGAACGCGTTACGACACACATGTGATAGTATTGATAGCATTCAAAAATGGTACCATTTTTTGAAAGGCCAAAAGAGCAGTCCAGGTGTCTTCCACTTCTAGGTGAATTAATCGTTTATTTTATTTAATTGTTTATTGTTTTTAAAATATTTTTCTGTACTAAAAATGTGCTATGTACTAAAGAAAATGTAATAATTTAGCATAATTAAAGCGTTTACAAAAAAATCTAGTTTTGAAAATTAACATAAGCATTATTACATGTAAATTATGCGATAATTTAAGAATAGTTTAAAAGTGTAATAAAATTAGTGATGCATTGAATGGTCTGAATGTGAGGGATATGTTGTCACCGAAACTGTATACTTAAAACTGGAACCGTTAGAGTTATCTCTGATTGGCTCATATAAGATAAGTTATCGTAGATAACAAGTGTAACTTATTTTTTGAAAAATCATTTTTGTCATTCAATTTAACTAATAAATACTTAAAAGAATTGAGATTGATCGTTTATTAGACATAATTGTTTATTGTTTTCAGTATATTTTTCTGCACTAAAAATGTACTATGTAAAGTTACTAATGAAAAGGTAATAATTTAGCATAATTAAAGCGTTTACAAAAAATGTTTTTATTGTAAACAACATAATTAGCATGCAACAATTTCAATAAATTGTTATATTGCAATAATTAGTGAAATAAATTGAAAATATAAAAAGATCTCAATTATTGGCAAAATATTATAACAAAAAATAAAAACCACAACAAATCGAGTTTCAGGGTTTTATTGTTGACCATACTTGAACATGATCATTTATAAATTACTTGTTTTAATCGTACGGCCATTTCTTTGGTTTCATCGCATTATTGGCCTAACATTTAACGGTCTATCCATTGATCGGGACTTTAATATACGGCAAAATAAAATATGGAAATATTATGGATATTTATGTTTTACATTGGTGATTATTTATAAATTATCTATTTTACTTAATTTTATTATAAATCCACATGCCGTTTTTAATTCAGCGGCAGACATTCAAGTTAATAGTACCATAGTGATTTTAATAGTTACAAAAGTTTTATTAGATGATATTACATCCATTATAAGAAGTTACACAATAAATGTTAAATTCAACATTGAGCTAGTAAAATGTTTGAAAAATGTAGATATTACAAAAATAGCAAACAAAATATTTTTATTGTATACAAGCTTAATATTGATAATCATGGTGTATACTGTCACCCGAATTATCTACACAGTTACTGTTGGTGCTACAATAGTAGGGATGCGTGATTTATTATTTAACCTAGTCGATACCGCAGTATATTTTGCCTGCTCGTGCATCATCCCGGTTTTCGCAATTATCTATTCATATAAACTCGATATAATACATGATAATCTTTTGAGAATTGAACATGGTAAAAATGTAGCATAAAATAAATGAATTAAAAATTAATATAATGTAATTTTTATTAGATTGTTTGTTTCATAGCACGATGTGTCACGGTAAATCTAGTAATCTTACTAGGGCATTAGCGAGTAATAGAAAGCAATATGTTAAGATAGACAATTCGCTTAAATTAATAGATTTTAATTTTACCTGGATGCTTACCATTAGACTAATTACATCAATATTTACAATAATGTTATTCATTTATATGATTATTTCAATGAATAAATTTGAATCGATCAGGCAAATTACAAATAATATGTATATTTTAACAATTATGAGTATAATTGAGATTATCGTAACGTTTTTATTATGCAATGATTTGATTAAAAAGTCATATAAAATAAAAGATACTTTGATTGCAATGAATGTGAGGGATATGTCTATTCCTGAGTACAGGGAATGGCTTACGTTTACGACTGCTGTTAGAAATAGTCATACGTTTGGCTTAACTATCGGAGGATTCGCTCAAATCAATAAATCAACACTTATTTCGGTATGAAATTCATAAATTATTATTGCATTTATTAACATAAATTTCCAATTTGTTATCCAGATATTTACCTTCATATTGAATTATACTGTTATAATGTTTCAAACATTAAAATAATTAATTATCATGGCACTATTAAAACTATCTAAAGTTTAAATAACAGTTCACATTAAAGCCTAAATTTATAACACAATGTAATAAAAGTTCAAGCTCAATAAAACTCATCATCTCCAAATCTAAATGAATTGAATTATTTTAATGAATTAATTGATAAGAAATTTAATGAAATTAAAATATCTTTCTAATCATTATATACTATGTACTAATATTACATCAGCATGATCGTTATAAATCTATTTTAATACATATTTATTTTAACTGATATTATAATACATTTGTTTGTAACTTTATTATCTAGAATCTAGATAATAATGTTTATATTTTATTTTAATGTTTTTGTAATTTTACATATTTTATTGTATTAAATATTATAATAGATTAAAATGTCATGATCAATCATTTTGCAATGTACCAAAAATATGTTCATTGACATCATTAATGTTGTCTTACATGTTGTACACAAAATAATTATCATGTCACTATTTTATGTGATAGGTAAAAAACAAATCAGAAATAGATAAAACATCATTATTATTAAGATCATATTTCACAATAAAAATAATCTAAAATTAAATCTAAGTTCTACATTATTTGCAAGATATGTTAACTAGATCCAACATGGTAGTTTATAAAGTAATTGTTTTAATCGTACGGCCATTGCTTTGGTTTCATCGCATTATTGGCCTAACATTTAACGGTCTATCCATTGATCGCGACTTTAATATACGACAAAATATTAAACTTAAATATTTTGGGTATTTTTATTTTGCAATTATAATGATTGCAAACTTAATTAATTTAATTGTTCTAATAAGTTCGATTTTCTATGTAATTCAAATTGTGTTTGGGATAGAAATGATACATATAAATATCATAATAATAATTCAATATACATTATTATATAACCTGCACTCTGTAAATGTTTATACAATTAATTTTAGGTTAAACAATGAAATTATTAACAAGTGTATTCAAAATATTGACTTATCTAAAATCGCTGTAAAAATATTTATTATAATTATATTTTGGATATCATCTATTATTTTATATTATTTTTATTGTATATTATCTCTAATTCGTATCGGAGTAAATATTCACACTTGTATATACTTTTTAATTAATCTATCTGAATTCGGATCATATTTGTCTCAATCAACAATCATCTGGATTATTTTAGTTATTCATTCTTATAAACTTGAAGTAATATACAAAAATATAAACAAGTTTAATAATTGTAAGTAATTTATTATATATTTCATCATAATTAATACAAAGTTAATTAATTTTTAAAATCAATATTAGATAAAGTACGCGTATTTCTACCAAGATTTAGCGAACATAAAAATATTGAAAGGATGCTATCAATTAATAGGAAATTTTATCTTAATGTATCAAAATCAATAAAACTGATTGATGTAACTTTTTCATTGGTCTTTGTAATCAAGATACTATCTAGTATTATAGCGACAATGATTACAATTTATTTGCTCATTGTGTCGGACAGATATATTCAATTACAAAATATAAGAAATGATTTAATTATGTTTACAGTTATAAGGCTAATTGAGATAATTGTAACATTTTTATTAAGTAATAATTTAAATGAAAAATGTAATAAAATGAGTGATGCGTTGAATGGCGTGAATGTGAGGGATATGTCTATTGCTGAGTACAGGGAATGGCTTACGTTTACGACTGCTGTTAGAAATAGTCATACGTTTGGCTTAACTATCGGAGGATTCGCTCAAATCAATAAATCAACACTTATTTCGGTATTAAAAACTAATTCGTGATTAATATAACGTTTAATAAATTATTGTTTTTAATTTTTTAGATTTTTGCATTCGTATTAAATTATACGGTAATACTTTATCAAACGTCTAATTAATTAAATTATTTAATAATCATAAACACACGTTAATTTATCACTAATATCATGTTTAATCTTAATTATACAATATATAACAAATGTAACGTTGATAACCCTAAATATTATACATTAAAATTTAATCAAAATATAATTTTAAAAAGTTTAAGCAATTACAAATTGCCCAAGCTACTTTATTTATATATTGAATAATAGAAATTGTAAAAACTGTATAATTATTTTAGTTATACAATGAATAATTTAGCAAATTAATTATTTTGTTATGTACATTTAATATTTTAAAATAAAATCAATTTATAATAATAATTAGTTTGTTTATTGGTTATGATAATATAAAAATTTAATTATAAATTAAATAATAATATTTCTATGAAAATAAATGTTAAAACAAATGTATTGTGAATGGGAATAGTTTGTTATATACTAAATTAATTAGAATAAATATATTTAATTTATTAATACAATGTGCACACTTATTGTATAGCAACATAAAACTTTATATAGAAAAATAGTTTGAAATACTGTTTAGTTAATAGTTAAAACAAACAGAGCAAAAATTGTTAAGGTAATTATGGAAAACTTAATATTAATTGATAAAATTCTTTGTAATGTTTATTAAGTGTACTTTTGTGTTGTTTCGAAGTTAATTCATGGTTTTGTTGTCTGAAATAATATGACCGTATAATTAAATATAAATGTAAATATCTGTAAAATAAAAAACATTAAAAATTTTGTTGTTAACAAATAAAATACCGAAATAAGTGTTGATTTATTGATTTGAGCGAATCCTCCGATAGTTAAGCCAAACGTATGACTATTTCTAACAGCAGTC